GTTTAAACAGCAAGTCAAACAAAGGAAGTACTATCAGTCATATCTGCAGATGGGAAACAGAGGCACAAAGAGCTCTGAATGACTCTGTGCAAGGTTATAAAGAGTGTCTGTGGCAGAGCCAGGAACTGAGCACGGAAGCTCTCAATCCTGCTCCAATGCCTTTGGATATTGAGACAATTCTTCTTTTTGCTTATCCTCCTTCTTTGCTTACTTACCCCTATGAGGAAACACATTAGCACCATGATAGACAGTCTATTTTCCTTTTATATGTATAATCTCCATTAATTTTTCTCTAGTTTAACATGGGATACAAAAGTGCAACAGAGAAGTAATTGAAACGGTACAAGCAACTGTAAATGTAAAAGTAGAATCTGGCATTTCAGCAAGCATGAGAGGAAACAAAAGTGTGCATACATGATTTAGAGAGACTTCCTGAAATGTTTTCCAATCATCACTCCAGAATGCAAACAGGCACCTGTCTCCAACTTCTCAAGTTAAGATAATTCACATATTAAAGTTGCACCTTGACATTCCTTACTTTTATAGGATGGAATGCAGGAACATGCAGGACACCCGACTAAAACTACACACAATAAGGTACACTTTTTCTTTTCCTTTTTTTTTTTTTTAATAAGGAGTAAAGATTTTGTGCAAATTTGTACAAACACAATCTTAAAAATCAGCTATCATCAACTAACACTTCTCCAGCCTACCATCACAAATACCAACTATGAAACTAACTACATCACCTATTGTTTCTCACATGTTTCTACAACCACTTTTTCCCCAAAGTGGCACACTTCACTATCTGATCTATTACCACAATGTGAGCTTCTTCTAAGAGTACCTGACTGCCAGATGTTTACTGATGGGACATATCTGTGCACTACTTTTATTCTGCTAACTCTTGCTCAGAAACAACAAACATCTGTTCCAGTCTAAACCTGGTGCTATGATTGGCAATCCCTATATTTATTTTCAATCCTTCATTAAGTTGCTGATCTATGAACACACAGTTTAGTCCCACTGTTGTTTTCTAATCATTAAGTGTTTTCTAATCCAAGACATTTTTCTTTGACAACTAAGTTGTTCTGACAGGATCACAGGCCAGTGAGTGCTGTGACTACAACAGCAGCACTTGTTTCAGCCCCTATCAGGTTTTTGAATCCTGCTAAACTGGCATTTTCTAATGTGCCTTTAGCCTCTTCATTTCAAGAAGATTTCACCAGAAGTGGTGTATCACCAGAGGTCTCTATCAGCTTTCCAGAATAAAAGCAAAGAAAAAGGGAAAAGCTGTAGGACTTGCCCATTGTCTGCACGTAACATTTCTCAGTAAGATTTCCCACTCACGTACAGTATAATACACTGAAATTACACCATCAATACTTATTCAGCATAAGCATCAAATCTATTAGGCATGGCCAACTTCTGAATTATTCATCCTTTTTTTTTTTTTTTTTGGAAAGAGAGATCACTTGAATCCTTTGTTTATCTCTTCCTGCCTACACTTGGCCCAGAGAACAGCTGAAAACTTTATTAAAAAATACTTTTAACAGTGATAAGATTTCAGGCTATCCTGACACCTCCACTCAAGGATCTGCTGGGAAGACAGGCCCGACTTCAGGAACTTGGACTATAAAGAAACTTGCAGAAGAGTTCAAGGGAAAAGTTCAACATGTATCATCTTAAACCTATCCTCTAGCACAGGAACTAGAAACACCTCATCAACATCTACCAATTTATGCACACATCTATGTTTAAGATTCCTACAGTAAGTATCCCCTTGAAAAACTACCATAAGGAACCCAATACCTGTTTGAAATACCTCATGAAAATAACAAGCTGAATAACACAAGTATAAACTTGAGAGGAAGTACCCTAACATTTTCATATGCTCTTCTGAAGCGAGCCATGCTCATGTGATCTTCTAGTCCCTCCGCAGCCCTCAATAACTTGCTCCTGATGACCAGTCCCAAGCAGATTTGACAGCCCACTGTGGTTCTCACAGCTCTTCCAAGCTGTCAACATAGGCAAGGTTTTCACTTAAATAAACAAAAGAGAAAAGCATTAAATTAGCATCCACAAGCTGCAGCTTGTGCCTAACTACTATTTGTTCTCCCAGTTAGAACAGAAGAGCTGGGCAATCACCAAATAGTTTTCCATCAGGTAAAGAAGTATATCCTGCCTTTGTCCAGCCAATACCTGGAAAAAGGCACAGAAGGCTTTATGTGTCAAAATCACAGGCAGCAGAAGGAAGTTAAGAACTTGCAGGGAGAAAATGCAGTTGTTACAGTGATGAAAGATTACTGAGGTTAAGGAAAGAAACATAGTCACTGCAGTGGGGGAGATGCATAGAATTTATTAACCCCTACCACCCACCCAGCTTCATTAGTTTTAGGACTCCAGGAGCCATTGTTTGTTTATTGCCATGTGTCACCACATACATATAGAGAACGTAATATACATAGTACTGTGCAACATCAGGGCTGGCAGCTCCACAGTCATTGATACAGTTCAGGAAATCACGCTTCAGTACATGCTGTATTAACCTTTTCTGAAAATTATGGCATCCTCTGAAAGGGCATTTATGAGCTTAGTATTACTTCAGGGTATAAGCAGAATGTTTATGACTTGACAGCCTTCATCCATGTTCACTTCATTTAACGTAATAGCAACTTTCATTTACTAGGTTGCCCTCAGCAAAATTAGTTTAGGAAATCTGACTCTGCCACTCATCTAGAAACAGATTTTCCTCTCCAATTCCCAGGGAGGAATTGTATTTGCAACCATCTTTATAGTATAGTTAGCAAAACAAACAGGGCATTTACTTCAACACTGTCCATTAAATTGGCATTTTGGGTTCTGGACTTTTTTTTTTTTAAACCCAACTTTTCATGTAGAAAAGGGAAAAGTTCTACTTTTCTCCCCCTTCTTACCCCTCAGAGTTGGCTCGTGTTCTTAAAGTATGCCTTCCTAGTAAAAAAGGCTCTAGACACAGTGGACAAAAGATGAGATGATCATCCTTCCCTGACTCCCAAAGGAAAGAAGATACAAGAATGCCTGTGAAACCCCAGAAACAAAGACACTTGAAGACTTACTGTAAAATGCTGAAATCTATCACTTATAATACACCGAGTTTCAGTTATTTACATGAGGTACGCACATGGTCACAATTTCAATGGCACACAGTACAGCATAACTAATAAAATGAAGCAACATTCCGTATGTTACCACTTTCTACTCTGTGCAACATCTGGAAATGCAGATGTTGCACAACAGGATATTATAGAACATTTTTAAAAAAAGAGAATATTCCACATTCAAGTTGTTTTTTCTAACAAGACTGAGAAACTCTGAAGCAGTCATTCACACATGCAGTACATTGCTGCACTGGAAATCTCTTTGGAGGAGAAGCAGTCTCTGAAATTACACAGTTATTTGCAAAGGTTGACACAAAAATATATGAACAAGATAAATGAGTATTTTGTTTTGTTTTACATTGAAGAACTTCTGCAAATGCATGGTATCACAATAAACACCTTAATATTCTGGAGAAGACCAGGGAAGACCAGAAACTGCTGAAGCTTCTTTGCAGTATTTTAAGATTGACCTTCTGAAATAAAAAGAAAGAAAAAAAAAAAACCAAACAAACTATGAAACCCACTCCCCCATCATCTTCTCTCCTCCCTCACCAAGTAATCTACATATAGAACTAAATTCAGTAACAGGAAGTGGCATGATAATTATTATTTTACAGTCTAAGGTAAAGGACTAGTGAGAGTCCCTACCAAACCGGGAAAACAATACCATCAAACTGAACACCTGCATTTGAAATCTTCACGGAAACTGAAGAGGTGTATCTGATGTCTTAGATTCCAACCATGTAACTACAACTGAGGACAAATCAGTGTAATGCTTCCTTCACTGGGTAAGTAAACAAAATCATTCAGGTATACTTTAAAATCAAGACTAGTCCAGCCAAGTACATTTTTAAGCCCTATTGTTGGAGCATCTTGAGATATTTCTTGAAAATAAACTAAACTTTCCTAGAAGGAAACCACCTAAACCATTCAGGAACTCCAAACACAGGAACTCTGAATATGCAAGTTTCACAAAGTGGGCAGCAAGACCTTTCAGAGAAGCTGTTCTGTCTTGTCATTTAACACAGAGCAAGGACAGTCATCTCATAAAACTATTACCCGATACAGTCTCCAGTCTCCATAAATGAGGCTACTGAGTCTTGATTATAAGGTATGATAGAGTCTACAGATTGCACAGATCCTAGGAAGGAAGAAGAGTAGAGACAGAAGGCAATCTCTTCCCATCCCAGTACCTAGATTTTCCAAAGCACTCAGAAAAAAATACTTTGAAGAAAACCTAATTAAAGAGGGGGTGAAGACTGAGAGTACAAATAACTTTCTAGACCACAGTAATGCCAAGATTTCTTTTTAAGAGGAAGAGATATAAAAATGTAGCTCCTTAGAAGCCAATGCAAAACCTCTACCAACTTCAACAAGAACATGACTTCCCTGGTCATGTTTCAACATTCATTACATCTAATTCAAAAGAAATTTACTAGTAGTTGGAATCATTACAGAAAGTGCAAGAGACAGAATCTCTTATCTTGCAGTTGACAAAGCCAGAACAATTGCAAGTGTTTTTCACAAATGTTTATCCTTAACAATTATTTAAGCTTTCCACATGAATGATCTTCTACTTGTCTTCCTTTTAATAAGACAGTTGAGGTATTGAGATGCTTTTCTTCTTACCTCAACAACTGAGAGTTTTAATAAGGAAGTATTACTACTGGTATTTACGTAACAGTAAACCAATACGATAAGAACACTGATGTTTTCTGCTGCAAGTCTCAAAAATACTTTGTGTTTTGCTGTATTTGCTCTCTGACTGACTTTATACTGACGCTGAGGCTATCAACTGTTTTGGAACAATGAAGTAAAAGATGTGACTGCAACAAAATATGGTCATCACATAGTACTTACCCTAACAGGAGGGCTCCGTGCTTGCACCCTTTGCTGCTGTCCAGCTTGAGAGCTCTGCAGGTCCTTTGATCCGCAGTTAGCTACAGTGTTGATGGGTACCCTTAAAGCATTTGTGCTACTAGTCCCACCACCAGTGCTGGGTTTTCGAGGCCTCTGTTTGATGCCATCCAGTAGTCTAACAAGCAAAATGTTACTGGGCAGTTCATCAACGCTGCAGTCCACTAAAGTCCTACACTCTGGGCATCGCAGCTCATTTCGGGAGCTCACAATGCCCAGCAGACAGCGCTTACAGAACGTGTGCTGGCAAGGCAAGACTTTTGCAGAAGCATCAAGGCGTTCTAAGCAAACAGGACACTCCAACAGATCCAGCAAAGCTGATTCATCCATTTTCTTTGTATTACTTAACCAAAAAAACAAATCTTCACCGAATGTGTGTGTTTTGAGCCCTCCAAGGATATCATGTTACATCCATCCCTCTTCTGACCATGCTCTGAAATTTTTTGAGGGGAAAAAAGGTATTAATATGGGAAAAAGAGGCAGAAAAACTATATTTTACATGAAGATGTTCATACAAAGAGAAAAAAAAAGCTCCCTAGACTAATTCAGTAGATGCAATAAATGAAACATCAAAATAACACTACATCATAACAACAATAACAATCTACGTTAATAGATCCATAGTTAAAATAATCAGCTAAGAGCTAAGGGTTTTAAATTCAAGTCCCCACAGATTTTAATCTTGGGTGATTTTATTTTCATCAGATTATTCCAGAATGAATGGCTATCCTCAGTACAGCATTATAATAAAGCTTACTTTTCATAGTTCTTGCTTAATACACCTGTACCTCTGAACATTTTGAAATCGGCTATTTTTTACAACAAGATGGCAAAAGCAATTACAACTGGGTCCAAAACAACAAAGTGTACAGCAGCAGGACATAGCAGGGGGAATTACATTTATGCCAAGACCAAGCCAATAGCAGATCATGTTTCTATCATTTCTGTGAAAAGTAATGGCAGCACATTACTCACATCAGTCCTGGAAACAGCCTCTACCTCACAGGGTTTTAGGCTTACCACAGGCACTGAACAAGACGGTTCATTACAGTGCCGCCTTTAAGCGCTTCAAAAACTATCGCGAAGTGATTTACAGCAGGAAGTGCTACTGCCATATCGCTAGGACAACACAAGCAATGTGTTTAATGCGCTTGCAGCCACAGAAGCAAAGGAAAGCTTTCAGCCAGCTTAAGTGTATATAGCGAGTGGCTAGGAAAGGGAGGGAAAAACATCCCACCACCAAAAGCCCCCTAAAAATCATCATTCTGCAGGAAGTCATCCCAGGCTGCTCCGTAGGGAGAACACAGCTTGTTGAGCTCGGCAGTGCCCACAGATACGTGCCCGCGTACTTGGCGCGGTCAGGCAGTCCCAGCCCGGGGCTGTGGAGGGTGCTCCCGGAGGGACAGGGAGGTTTCGTCCGGCCGCGCAGCCCCGTCCCACCCCCGGGGGGTGCCGAGGCCGGGATCCGGGCGAAGTTTCGCGCCTCCGCCCAGCCCCACCGCCGGCCTGGGGAAGCAGCTCGCTCGGCTCCGCGGGCGCTGGACGCGTGTCGAGGCGCTCATCCCTCCACCTACCTGCTGTGCGGCTCTGCACCACGCCGGCTCCTCTAGTTATTTATGATTCCCCACTCCCCCCTTTAAAAGCGATCCGCGGGCGGGCAAGCAGGCAAACCCCGGAAGGCGGCGTGCACCGCCCCGCGGGCCCTCCGGGGAGAGGGGTGAGCGGACACGGCTCCTCAGGAGGCGCACCCGGCAGCGGGGCGGGGGGCAGGCGGCGGCAGCCCCGGGGCAGAGGGCTGTCACCCCGCCATGCGACGGTGAAGGGAAGAGGGGGTCGGGCCTGCGGCCCCTCCGCCGAACCGAGCCACCCTTCAGGGGCGCGAGAGGGTCCCCGGGAGGCCGAGCACCGCCCCTCTCCGTCCCCCACCCGGATCTCACCGTATGGCGCCGGAGGGGCCGCGCCGCCCCGGCTTTGTCTCCGTAACGAGCCGCTACCAGTGCCTCTCCCTCCACTGTAACGCCAAAACCCGGCTGAGCTCGGTTCCCCCCACGTCCCTTCCCCGCCCCGCAGCGCAGGGCTGACGCGACGGGCGGCACCGCCCCGCCCGGCACCGCCCCGCTGAGGGGGCTGAGGGTAGGACGGGAGGTCCCCGGCCCGGCCCTGACCGCGTTCCGTCAGCAGCGGCGCCTCCTCTCACGGGAGAGCTGGGGGCGGGAGCGGGCCGGCAGCCCCCCTCACACCACCCTCTTGCCAGTACCGTGGGGTGGCGGGTGGGCGCTTTCCGGGACTGGCGATCTGTTGCCTCGCAGAGGGAGGCACTCCTCGCCCTGCTGGGTGAGGGGGTTCCGTTCAGGCACCTGGGGCTGGGGTCGGCTGTGGGGAAAGCGAAGAGCTTGTGGTGGCCGAAGAGCTAACCCCGCCCTATGTGGTGAATCAGGCCTGCGGCTGCCAGGCCCCACGGAAGGAGGAGCCGGGGTGCCCAGAGCCGGCCAAGAAAACGCTCCTGAGGCGGAGCCGGCTTGTGTGGGGTGGGGAGGCCTCTACCGGCGGGGCACACGGGCACGTCCCCGGCTGTGCGGGTTCTGCTCCCGGCTGGGAGGGTGCAGCTCAATGTGGGACAGGGTGAAGTAGGGGCGCGGCCTTTCCCGCCTCCGGGTGGCGGTGGGTACGGGCAGGGCAAGGCGGCAGCCTCGGGCGCAGCCCTGGTTTCTCCGGCCGTCGCAGGCTGCGCTGTGGAAGGCGGGATGAAGCGTTGATCCCGGAGTGCGTGCCTCCCTCGGGAGGACACAAAGTTACTTGTGAGCGTTGCGCAATTAAATCATCAGGTGAGGTCAGGACCTGCCGCAAATTGGTGCGTGTCTCTTTTGACACGCATACCTGAGCTGGGGGGGGTATGAAGTGCTTGATTTGGAAGCGTCTCGGGTGAAATATTTCTATACAGGATTGTGGGAATGAAGGGGGAAGTAAATACTGAGGTACTTACAAATTACCATAAAACAGTAAAAGGAATTTAAGCCACACACTTCTTAAATCAGATGAATCACCTTGTCTATGGATGGTGAAAAAAAAACCTGGAAGTGTGTAAGTTCAAGCTAATCATCTTGTCAGCTGCAAATCAAAAGGGAAGCAATCTGAAAGCTTCCTTCTTCTGTCTGGTTTTGAGCTGTTGAAGTTTGTTGTCATTCTTACTGAATTTTGTCTGCATATAAAAAGCTTTTTTCTCTTCCATGGGTTGTGTAGGTTTGTGTAAGTTGATAGCATGACAGGCTTTTCTGTCTTGATTTCTGCGTTTCTAGGAGAAATACTGAATGTGCTAAATATATACAGTTCATTAAGAAATAGACTTTCCTCCCCCATGGACTCTGGAGTTCAGGGAAACTGATACAGATGGGGTTCTGGTCTGTGTCTGTGCTTTCCAGGGAGTATCACAATATAAATAGAAGAGAAGGTTATAAACATCTGATACTTAAGAATGTTCCCATGTCTTGTAGTATTTCTCTGTCTTGCCATGTCAGTGCTGCCACTATGGAAAGAAGGATAGTCTGTACGTATAGAACCAGGGACTTGTTAAATCTAAACGAAAGTTCATCTCACAATTGGTTTTCCCTCTTGGCCACAGCTATTCCAAAAGATCTCATCAAGGGTACAAGGTAATAATTTGCCACTCTTTCCAGCACAGTTTTGTAAGCAACACAGTAATTGTTGTCTAAACTTTGTTTGCTGCCTAAGGAATGTAAAATATGTATTAAAACAGGAGAGGAATTTACAGTACAGGTGGTGCATCAAGGAAGCAAGATGAAAGTTCAGGGAAGCAGGATGAAAAGATCAGTCTTCTATCAAGGCTGGTCTTTGATAATGTTTAATGTCTATTCTGTGAAATGCTAGATCTATTGCAGAATACGAGCCAAAGCAGTAAACCTTGTGAAGAGTAACCGATAAACCTGGTACTTCCTGCGCAGCAGCAGTTAATTTTCAAACAAGTATAATCTATGTAAAATGGGGCGTGCGTGCTGATGTGTGCCACTGCCCCCTTATGGATGAGGTGTTTGGCTCGGGGCGGCTGGAATAGTTGACGCCAGGACTGAAAGGAACGAGATTGTTATTACACTGAAGCGTTTGTTCGTTCTCACTCCCAGCCACAGGCAGGGAACTGTACGCTTTGCACATTTTTACACCAGGAGACCTCCTTTCTTGAAACCGTTCCATTCCTATGTACAGTTCATTGGTTCCTTACACAACTTTTATGAAGTTATTGATGCAAAGGAGAGTTTGCACAGGGCAGAGGACCATTAAAAACATGGATTTGAAGGAAGAGGCTCCCTAGTTACTCAAATCCCCACATTTCTGATTACGTCTATCAGTATTCATTCCTATTTGTGAAAACATATGTAAACAAGTATAATTTTGTAATAAATTGTACTTCTGAAGTTGGTTTTCAGGCACAACCGTTTTGATTATTTCCGCCCCCCCCCCCCCCCCCCCGCATATGTTGTTTCTCTTCATCTGGAAGCCTTTGGGTAAAGGAAGAAGCAAAGGGCAATAGGCAGAGCAGGAAAAGACAAAATGTCAGTAGCGGAACTGGTAACACCTGCTTTCTTCCTTTTTTCTGTGTTCCATATCCAGCATCCTTAGTGCAATAAACCCACTGTCTTCTGTGCTCCTCCTTCGCTACTGCCAGTACCTTCTTTTACTTCTGTATGCCAACCAACCTACACGTCTTCAGCCTTCTCTGCCCGAACAATCATACTTCCTAATCCTCCCTGACTCATACTGCAACAATTCCTGTTTCTGCCACATTTCCAAGTAACCTCAGTGTTTCATCTGTCTTTAAAATGTGAGGCAGTGTATTTGTACAGACATTTGTAAACTAATTCATGAAAGAGCAAAAGCATTTAAATGAACTAAAATGTTCTAAAAAGTGAAAGCAGGTCCAAGCTCCATTCTAACACTACAAAATGTCCCTGAAGATTGTGACCCTGATGGCAGGATAACCCATGTGCCTAAAAAAGTCGTGTTAGCAGTCTGTATACTTAGATTCATAAAATCAAACTGAGTGATTGCTGAGTAGAGAAATCCTGGCCTGTGCAAATAAACATCTGAAGGCGTATTTCACTTTTTTGTGAATTCTATCCTTAAAATCTTGAGATGACTACAAAAGACTCAAAGGTAATAAGAATCATGGAACAAGAGGTATTATGTCCTGTCAGAAAGGAACTATAACAGAAGATACTGTCTTGTAGCAGTCATAGTCTGAATTTTTTGTATTTGTAGGCTCAGGACTAAGTTTTAACATTATTTGTACTGGAAAGAGTAAGCATGCTTTTGTTTTAAGACGCATTCTTGGTACTAAACTATTTTTATAGCTATTTTTTGTCAGAAAGAATGATGTTTCTGCTCTTGTAATGTCCACATTAGTCCATTGTAATGTCCACAACCAAAAAGGTTCATCTAATTTCCTTATAAAATGGAACAGTATTCTCGCCTCTGGAGATGTGGTGGTGATTTCCTTTCGAAAGCCACAGAAAATGTCCACTGCCATCAATTTACTAAGAGTTTATCGCTGATGCCCATGTTGATAGTGGTGTCTTTATATTGGCAAGTACAGCAGGTAGTAAAGTGCAGCCAACTGCAATCTCTGACAGAAATGAGCAAGGTTGTTGTTCAATCACTTTGTTCCTTTCTCATTAAAGAGTTGAGGATTGTGTGTGGTTTTGTTTTGGGGGGCTTGAGGGAATTGCGATTTTGTTTCGGATTGTTTGATTTTTATTCTTTTTTGCAACAAGATGTCTGTGCTGCAGTTAGTGCCAGCTTTAAATTCCCAGCCTGGTCACTGTTAGCGGAATTCTAAGCATGGAGCTCAGTGTGGTTGATACTGACCCGGTCAATTTGCTGCAAAATGAGTTTTGTGCTGCCCCTGCTGCACTTTCTGTCTTGTGAACCAGATCAGTGACTGTAATACAAAAGTACTTCTAAGGCTTCTGCATCTTGCCAGAAGGATCTCTGCTGGTACTGTATTTGTGAGGAGGCAGGAGAAATGGGTAATTGTGGTTTCAGTACACATTTGGCTTCTAGTTTCACATCTTTATTCTGTATCCTAGGCATCTAGCCTTCTTGAGGAGAGTGTCATTTGAGTATTAATGTTTTGAACTATCTCTCTCTGAAAACATTAAGCTGGGGTTGTACCTTTGCAAATATTGATGCTTTTGTAATAATTTGCATTGCAATGAGGGAATATGCAACAGAAGTGGCTGCGGCATTGAAGAATAAACACATTACAAATTCTCAGGGTCTAGGCAAGGTCTTTGTCACCTTAAGACATTTCCACCAGGCTAGTCACAGGAAAACACTGGGCTTATGATCCACAACCCCTAGCTGCAGTGTCCACTGCTGTACCTTGGAGAAATGCAGTTAGGTGTTGGTGTGTGTAGTTGGTCAAGGACTTGATTTAAGGGTTCATTGCACTGATGGGAATGCAGCGCCTGCTTCTCATTAATCAGCCAGCTTGAAATTGGCCTTACTACAAACAAGGTTAAAGAAAAAGCAAAGGAGAATTTTCATGTAAAGAAATCGAACTAGGTTGCACAGTTCTGAAGATTTTAGCAGAGGTACAGAAATGTAAGACTCCATTCCTAAGAAGTTTATTCCAAAATCAGGTTACCTTTTTCCTTCCTTGCATGCAGCTGATAAGCCGCAGACCCTATCTGTGAGGCTGCAGAGTTGGTCCTGGTGCTCCTTTGCCTCTTGAGAATTAGTGCTGTGTCCTCAGAGGAGACTCCTGTGAGGCACAGCATGCCAGATTCTCCATTCAGTTCTTTTCTAGATGTCTCCTGATTCTATTTAGATCTGGTCTCCCAAAGATTCGTAAGAGATTTGGGATATAGTTTTAGAATTATTAGCTGCCCTAGACTTTTTGGAATACTTACATGCCGTT